GGAAAGTGGACCCACCAGGGATCAAAGGCTAGGTAACCAAAGGGAAATATTTATTCATATTCATACTCACAGAGCAGGTGTCTCCTTACCTCTCTCATGACTGTCCAGATGAAATCACCTAGGCTGTGTCTACACTGGCGCGATCTTGCACAAAAGCGGCTGCTCTTGCACAAAAACTTGCTGCCTGTCTACACTGGCTACGTGTTCTTGTGCAAGTAAACTGATGTTCTAATGTATGAAATCAGTGCTTCTTGCGCCAGAACTCTGATGCTCCCACTCAGGAACAAGCCCTTTTGCGCAACTGTTCTTGCACAAGAGGCCAGTGTAGACAGGCAACATGAATTTCTTGTGCAAGAAAGCCCAATGGTTAAAATGGCCATCAGAGCTTTCTTGCGCAAGAGAGCGTCTGCACTGGCATGGATGCTCTTGCGCAAAAGCACATTCCAGTGTAGATGCTCTCGTCTGGAAGAGTTTTTGCACAAGAACTCTTCCGCAAAAGAGTTCTTGCGCAAGAAGCTGCCAGTGTAGATGTAGCCCTATAGTATTATTTATTTGTAATCTAGTACAGGTTGTTGTACCTCTCTAGTCTGGCATCACCAATAGTCTGGCAAGATTTTAGTTAGCCAGATGCCCATTTATCATGAATAGGGTCAAGTTTCCCATAGTCCCATAAAGTTTGTTTACAGCCATCAGTCCTAGTTCTCAGTGATCTGTTTGGTTACTTAGTTCTAATTTACCCCTAAAGTCTTCTAAGAGCCCAGTAAGCAGTGGAAGTGTTGGTAATGCTGCTAGACAATATTGATCTTTTGTGATCTGACAAATTCTCTGGTTCAGCACTGGTCAGGTCCTGAAGGTGCCAGACTAGAGAGGTTCAATGTATAGTTCTCAGTATATGTCACACTTCTCACTAAGCTGATGACATGTGATGCTTAGATAAAGCCCTATCTCCAGAAGTCAGATGATCACAAGAGAATCTTCACTTTCATTTACAAAGAACAGTTGTGTTTCTTTTGGGTGGTACTATTGCCAGCATCGCGCAATAAAAAACAAAATCATGAGTTGAACCTCTCAAAAAATGCACACATGCATGAGATAAGCATATCTAAAAAATAGGTTTAAAAAATACACGTTGGGTGCTTTTTACTTATCATCCGGTTTTTGAGCCATTAGGGAGTCATGATCCCTCCACACCCATGAGGGCTAGAAACTTTAATTTGAAAAAAAGTGAGATAAGGCTCTCATGTAATCAGTTCACTCAATGAACCAGGGAAAAAACAAAGAATCTTAAAAACCATTTTAGTCAGAAAAAAAAAAGAGGATCCCCCTCCCCCCCCCCCCCCCCCCCCCCCGTGCAAGAGCCATTTTTCCTCATTTTTTCAAGAAGAATGGCTCTTGTGCAAGAGGGGTTTTCGCGCAAAAAGGTGCTGTGCAGACTGTGCCTTTTTGAGCCAAAACAGCTGCCAATTAGTTATCCAAATTAAGCATGGTAATATGCTAATCCATATTTTATTTGCATAGGTTTTTGCAGAAGAGGGAAGCTGTGTAGATGTAGCCTGATGGATTTTATATGCCCCATGCAGCCAAGAAGTAAGGGAGGGATTAATGTGAAAGTTAGCAATAAGGAGCTTAAAGGACATGATGAGCTGAAACCAGTTACAGTTCTTCTAAGGCAGTGGTCTTCACCACTTTTTGAATTTAAGTGCAGTCTAGGATCTACCTCAAATCTAAACACCCTGCCCCTTCTTCCTCACTCTATCTTCCTTCCCTTCCCCCATCCTCCCTTCCTTTCACTAGGCATCGGGGCACAGACTCTGGTCTTGGATTAAGGGATCTGATGTACAGGAGAGGTTCTGAGCTGAGTTTGGGACAGGCAGTCGGGATGCAGGTTCTGGGAGGGCATTTGGATACACGGGTGCTTGGGGCTGGGTCAGGGACTTGGGGTGCAGGAGCAGGTTCATGACTAGGGTAGGAGTTCAGGATGTGGGCTCCAGCTGGACACTGCATACCTCAGGGCTCCTAGGTGGTGGTGCAGTGAGGTGAAGGCAGACTCACCCCTGCCTTGGTCCTGCACCACTCCCTAAAGCAGCCAGAAAATTCCATCCCAAGTCCTGTTGTGCCCCCTGTCTGCTTTGTGGAGAAAGGATACAGAGTGGGAGAGGGTGCACCTTGGCATCAGCCCCCCTCACTCTCTCCTGCCTTGCACAGAAAGCCAGAGGCTCCTGAGGGGACAGCTCCAAGACAAAGGGCAGGAGATGCACAGCAGTCTGGGAGAGCAGCTGAAGTGCCAGAGCTTGGTAGCCTCTTGGCCATACCAGTCAGGATCACTGGCAGAGGCTCCAAGATCTACCAGCAGATCCCAATGTACTGTTTGGTGACCACTGTTCTAAGTGCCTGCATGTCAGAGCAGAGATTTCTTCTGGTGACACAGGATGAGGAAAAGAAGAACTGCGGAGGAGAGTCTACCTGGTTAATGTCTGTACAACTCAGAATGTGGTGCTAATGCAGGTTAGCCTGGAAATAGAGAGGGAGAGAGACTTATTTTTTGATTTAACTGATTTTAAAACCTTAATTTGGGATGTATAGACTTAGCCCTGCGAAAAGGCAAACTGATTATCCACTTTCTCAAACTGTGCCTTTAAAACAAATCCCCTTTGGCTTCATTTTACCAGCAGGGTTGACAGCTATTGCACAGATCTATGGAGCATTCAGTGGCATCTTGATTTTGTTAAATATCAAAACAAACAAACAAATAAAGCAGCCAATGAGCATTGGCAACAGGAGCATTCTTCAGTTGCAATATGGTAGCAGCTTGAGACTCTGACAATAAGTTTCAACAGAGTTGAGATTCATAAACGTTTTAAAAAAAAGTTTTAAAAAAAAACACATACATGTACTAGTTCCCTCTTAAAATTTGTCTCTGTTACCTTCCTAAGGGCTGGGCTATCAGATCTTTATAACAGCCTCCTTTTGACCTTTTGTAGATATACGTTCCACACCATGACTGCGCTCTCTCTCATGAGCAGG